CCCCTTGTCCTGCAGTTATCAACACTTTCAAAGAGTTGATTCCCCTCCTGTTTGTAGGCTCCTCCAGCCCAAGTGCAAAACTCTGCACTTTGCTGTGTTGAACCTCATCAGGTTCACCCAGGCCCACCTTTCTAGCCTCTTGAGGTCCCTCTGAATGGCCTTCCACCTTCCACCACACTTCCACAGCAAACAGAATGTGATGATTCTGTATTATTAGCGCAGAATAGAATAAAACAATTCCATTGGAAGGGACCTCAAAGATCACCACATTCAACTGAAGCTGACTGTTTCTGTTTTGAAAGTCATCCGAGTTTTCAAGGCACACAAAGTCATTGCTGTAAGACAACACGGTACCTTCCGTCACAGAAGTTTGTCCAAAGAGGAAATTCCAAGACTCAGCTGGATAGAGGTGTAGCACAGCTACTGCCACAAAAAGCATCTCCTGGTCTTTTCTTCTACAGGTACTGCAAGAGGTCCCCTGAGATAAACAAACGAATAAACAAACAACCATTGATGACAAGGCTATTTTCAGGAAACAAGTGGAAATACAGAGAAAAGGTGTGAACATGCAGGGTTATTTTTATTAAGTAAATGCTCAGTGTTGAGCAGGACAGCCTGGGCCTCCAGGCAAATTAGCCTAGGTAGTTTGGGTTGGTTTTTTTTTGGTTCACAGAAAGGACAGTAAGAAATGTAGATGCTTGAATCTGCTGCTGCATGCTAAGGGGCAAAGTCTTCTTGGCCCTATGGATATTAGAGTAGGCTCAGCAAAATACCTAATAAACTCCACCAGAAGAAAAACACCAATATGAACAAATAGCAAATTTTATTACTAATTGTTTTCTCAACTTAAACTTGACAAGAACATAAATCCCACATTATTATGCTCAACAAAAGGCAAAACACCTCTCTGTCCACTGCAGTTATTGAGGGAGTTTATTTCTCATGCGCAGTGGCTGACAGTATAGCCTTCACAGAGTAATTCCACCAGCTCCTGAAGCACCAGGCTGCTGCTCTTAGATCACCCTGCCATCTGCAATGGGACTACTTCAATGAATAGAAGCTACAGAATGAGCTACAGAAGCTGGGATTTGGGCTTGCCAGATACTGACCTTTAAATTGTGTTCACACCTGTTCTCTCCAGCACAAAGCACTGGGAACAGGCTTTTAACAGACATCTCCCCCTTGATTCGTGGCCAGCAAAGAATCTGAAGTTCCCTCTGTTTATCATCTAACAGCATTATGTACCTGAGTAAGTCTGTAGGCTCCCAGTGTGCCCATTTACTTGAGAAGCACATGCTGTATCTGCAACTGGAATAGGTTCTGGGATCTGTACAGTCAGACCACAGCAAAAGGCTTCATGGTACGACTTCAGCCACCTCCTATCATCTTCCAAACTGAGTCCTTGAACAGACCTGTACAAGGGATTCAAAATGGCACAAAGTTATTAAAATGACATCAAATTATTAATTACCTTGTGGCAGAATAAGCCAATCAACTCACTTAACAGCTTTTCTCAGAGCTGCAATATTCCCACTTATTGCCATTTTTAATGAATTTCAGTTCATTTCATGGCACAAAAATACACAGACCAGCTGCTGTGCAGCACTGTAACGTGTAACACGATATAGGGGCTTCAAAGATCTCGTTGTGTTGATATCTCCCTCCTTCACCAACCCAGCAGCACTCTGCCCATCACAGAAGTATAAATGTTCACCAACGATGGCTGCAACGCCGCACACACATGGCCACACAACAAGGGCTTGGCTATCTGCCATCACACCCAACTGGGCCACCAGCAGCATCACAGCCCTCAGCATGGGACAGAACCCCAACAGGACTACCCACATCCCAACACATCCCATCCCACATCCCAATACAACCATCCCACATCCTAACACAACCATCCTATTCCATATTCCCAACACAACCATCCCATCTCACATCCCAACACGACTATCCTATTCCATATTCCCAACACAACCATCCCATCTCACATCCCAACACATCCCATCCTATTGCATATTCCCAACACAACCATCCCATCTCACATCCCAACACGACTATCCTATTCCATATTCCCAACATGACCATCCCATCTCACATCCCAACACATCCCATTCCACATCCCAACACATCCCATCCTATTGCATATTCCCAACACAACCATCCCATCCCACATCCCAACACATCCCATCCCACATCCCAACACAACCATCCCATCCCACATCCCAACACATCCCATCCCACATCCCAACACATCCCATTCCCACATCCCAACACATCCCATTCCCACATCCCAACACAACCATCCCATCTCACATCCCAACACATCCCATCCTATTCCATATTCCCAACACAACCATCCAATCCCACATCCCAACATATCCCATCCCACATCCCAACACAACCATCCCATCCCACATCACAACACATCCCATCTCACATCCCAACACATCCTATCCCACATCCCAACACATCCCATCCTATTCCATATTCCCAACACAACCATCCCATCCCACATCCCAACACAACCATCCTATTCCATATTCCCAACACTACCATCTCATCCCATATCCCAACACATCCCATCCCACATCCCAACACGACCATCCCCCCCCCCTCAGCCCAGCGCTGTGTAGCAGCTGCCCTTGCTGCACTTGAAATTTGTTTTCCAGCACGCACTGACGGCAACTACTCGCTTTACACGCCCGTGTGAGAGAGAGGAGCGCATTTTATTAACGCAATTCATTTCACAGCTGTGAAGACAACTAAGCAAACGCCAACGCGAATACACGGCAACCGATCAGCACCAGTGCAGGCGTCACACGGACCGTTACTAAACGAAGCGCTGCGGATGGAGTACCCGAAACAAAACCGCTCCCGTCCGTGCGGCGACGAACGGACCTGCAGACGGGACCCACGCGGGACACGGAGCCCCGCAGCCGGAAAAGGCCCCACCGAAGCCGGAGCCGCCCCGGGCCCCGCCCGCCCCTCCGCCCCTTTCCCCGCACGGGCGGAGCCGCGCACGCCGACCTTCCGCCTCCGAGCCGGGCAGCGCGTTAAGGCTGCGAAGCTTTAGGCGGAAGGTGGTGATCGCTGCGCTGCACTGGGTAAATGCACCCGGATGGGTTTCTTTCTCTACGCGAGTAGCAGCTGCTTTGTGCGGAGCATCGCAGCTCCTGGAGTCTGGGTTCTGTAGGTGCGTTTTCTGCGTTCCCCCGCCGGGAGCTGCGCGGCCTCACAGCTTCTGTTTCTTTGGTGTTTGCATTAAAACTACAAACAAACGCAGGTCTTTAAGCCTCATGATGTCTGTTTGTCTTCAGAGGCTTCTGCAAGCATCAGTAAGGCGTGTTGCGTGATCACAGAATTATGGGCTGTCCCGAGGTGGAAGAGACCCATAAAAATCACTGAGAAGGAGGAAGAGTTCAGCTCACAGTTCCAAACTGTGTTCTGTTGCTTGTTTGTTTCTTCATGTTTTCATTCTCCCAGACATCTGAGAGACACAAACCAGTGAACAGACAGGATCCCAGTTCTCCCAGTGCCAAGATGGGGATTTAATTTCACACTTACAGCTCCATCCCAATGTGGGATGTTATCTGCTGTGCTGACTGAGCACAGCTGCTATATTTAGTGCTCAGATGCTCCTGCACTCTAGTCCTGTGCTTGGATCACAGCACTGCTCCCTCTGCCCCTCTGAGATGATTTTGTCCAAAGCAAACAGGGGCGGTTTGAATGCATGCAACACCCCCAGCCCTCATCATTTCCAGGCACTCCGAGGCACACTGCTGAGTGTACTTGCTTGCAAACATCAGCAGGCAGTTCTTTGGACAGGATTGAGAGCAGTAAACAATCTCACCGTTTATGAGTGTTATGGATCCGCTGTTTCTCGTGGTAATGATTTCAGCTCTGACCTGTTTCACAGACTTTGCATTAAGAGCTGGGTTTACCTGTGCTGAGTGCAACGTGAGAATGGAGAGACACCCAGGTCTGCATGAAATGCAAGTGCTGTCTAGCTGAACGATGGAGAAAAATGAGTCCACGCTACAAAAATATATGATCCAAAGAGCTCCAGCTAAGGAAATGGGAATTTAAATGAGGATTTTGTCAGTTTTTTTGCTTTCAAGGAACCTACACCATTGCCAAGACCTGGAGCCATTCTGCAGGTGTGTGAGAGCACAGTGACACAGCCTGGGAGAAAGCAGCCCGACCAAGGAGTGACTTTTTCACATGAGCTACCTGGGACACAGCTTCAGGCTGAGAACTGCTCTATGCAGTGGCTTTTCTCTCCCTAATGATGGAAGCTGACCCTCGTTGCAGCTAGCTGCTACAAACACTGCTTAAATTTGGGCAGTAGCTGTGATCCAAGGAAAGCTGCCCTGCACTGGGCTGCTCCAGCACCAAGGGAAGCCAAAGGTGTAAATGAAGGTGTGATGCTGCATGTTCCCCACCATGCTTTGGTATAATCACAGACATTTGTCTTGCTGCAAGCAAATGATACAGGGCACAGAGACAATGAAAATAAAGCCTGGCTCCAGCTAAAGGCTTGGCTGTCAGCCAGATGCTTTCATATTCAATCCTTGCTTCTGTCAAGAGGGAAATATAAAACATTTTACCTTGCTAGCCTCTTAGTGAGGAGCTATTTTTGACAATTTGCATATCACATGTATAAATGCTCTCCTTGTGTTTATCCTACTCTTGCAGAAAAGTGGGGTTTCCTTTCTGAAGGAGGAAATCTGTGTCAATCAGTGCTTTGTCTTGACAAAGAAACAGACAGGGTGACTTGCTGCTGACGTTCATCCATTGAAAAGATGTTCCCTTGCCTCGCTGGCATCCACAAATAAAAGATAGTAGGGATGATTATACACCAATTTATTACAAGCACAATGAATGGCAACATTTCACTTGGAACAAAGGATCTGCTGCATTCTGAAAAACGTATTTCTCCCCTAGTATTGCAGAGTGATGCAGGCAGAGCACCCTTTCCCAGCAGAAGGCAGGTTTGTGGTGCCCAGGTGATAAAACTGGAAGCTCTGAGAGTTTATTTTTTAAAAGGTACAACTTAAATGCCAAGTTCACAGCTGCAGGTTGCAAGCATGGATCCCCCAATCAGCTCACAGCACTGCTGTGCACACAGCTCCTGCGTCACACTGCTCCCAGCCCAATGCACGCAGCTGAAGGCAGCAGCTCTAATGCCCATCACTTTGCTGTGCCTGGTCTGAATCACATCCCCTTTTCTCCTCAACATTTTCTAAGAGGGGAATGGGGAGAGGGTGAAAGACAGTCTGCTTGGGTCATCTGCATGAATAAGAGGAAGTTTTCCCCTTAATTCTAGACAGTTTTTTTTAGCAAATGTCAGACATGAGCTAAAAAGGCTGTCACTGCTGCAGGCTTGCTTAGCTTGCTCCTCTGCAAACCCTAACATTAACTCTTCGAAAATGCTGGTTGTTTTGAAGTTTGCTGTTTGCTTGTTTCCCCTTTCTTCAGGAAAAAGAGAGGCTTCAACAGGAAATGGTCATCAACTGGTAGCTGCTTCTGTGACTAGATGTGGATTAATGTAAAAGAATCAAGCTCATACAGGAAACAGTGCAAAACATTACAGCTAGGCAACCCCATAAAGGTCTGCATCATTTACAGATATTGCCTTTTCTTTCTATTAAAGTTTAAAACCATTCCCAACCAAAGACTGCAGGTACACAGAGCACTCAAAGTTGAGCCTGGTGTCAGGGCTGATGAGCACACATACTAATTGTGGAAGTGCTGACTGACTTAACAGCCTGGTGTGAGTTGCTGGCCATTAATTACACAGGGTTGGTGTCATGCCACAAATGTCACTTGCATGGTACATGTTTAGTATGGAAACATTCATCATCTCAAGTCTGCGTGGAGTTTCAGTGTTAAGATATGCACCCTTTTTTTCCTCTACTGTTTCCCCTTTTGAGTCTGAGAAAGAAGCAGCTTTCTTTAACATAAGAAAAGTTGACTGTCTTCCAGGCTGCAGCCAACAAGAACTAGAGAACACAGGGCAGAGCCTTTACCACGGCTCAGAGACATCAGACCTCTGATACTGGATAGGGTTGAGAAATGGAAATCTAGCAAGGCTGCAAGCATTTTGGCTGTGCTGTCAATGGGAAGAGGTCTGGGAAGACAGCATCTTCTACGCTGGCAGGATACAAGATCCATTACACTGAGCACTGGATCCAAAGACAGCAGATACTGAGAGGCACAGAGTCTTATGCTTCCTCTGAAGTCCTAAATTAATCAATGCTAGCTTGCCCTGATCAGTGTCATCTTACTGATCCACATTACATCATATTCTAAACACCCCAGACAGAGAAATTAGATTTATGCACTTACTGTGCATGCTGACAAACACGTCCCTACCTTATCCTCCCATGCCCTGCAGCCCTTGTTGCCTGCAGAACAACAGATGCACATCTTGCTAGCGACAGCCAGTAGCTTGGAAGACATGCCCTTTGAATTTTATCCTATGTATGAAGGCACAAGTTGGAAGCTGCTCTGAACCAGAACCCTCCTCAGAACAGCCTACATCAAATTCAGACTTGTCAGATCGAGTGCTCAGCGATTAATCAAACTGTTCCACTTTCTCTGAGGAGCAAAGCAGACACAGTAATGTGGTCTTCAGTGCCTCTGACTGCATGCGTGAGTGGTGACCATTTCTATCATCTCAAGTGCACATTTCTGCTGGATGTTTTGATTCCTTATCTTCAAGTCATCACAGCTCGTTTACTGAATTCTCATGGAAGGACTTTGACTCTGCCACAGCAGTTTCCACAAGCCAGACTGCAAAGCTGACTCTGGGGCCTTCCAAGATCTTTCCTTTGTAGCAATAAGGAGCAAGAAGCACAGAGCCCAGACAGCTGCTAAAAATGGAAGTTGCACTCAACCAAGAAAAAACATTTCGTCCCTCAGTAAGTGTGCATAAAAGCACAAGGGAAGAATGCAGAATAATTTACCACAATCCAATACTGTCTAACTTCAGATAGAAAATGACCCACACTACTGCAGGACCTTGTGGGACTCCTTGGACTGAGTTCATTGAGTAATTTCCATACAGTTGTAAAGAGCTTGTGTGCATTAGGCAAGACACTCAGAAGTAACTTGCACCAGAGCAGACTCACCCTATTTCCACCCACATCCCCAGGACAGCTCCCACCTGGCAGCTGCTGCTCTAGCACTTTGCCATTCAGCTCCTCCAGAGCAGAACTGTCCATGGCAGCTCCTCACCAGGGCTCTGGAGGTCAGCTCCAGGAGCAGCTCCTGCTCAAGCAGTGAGCAGGGCTGCTTCAGCACAGCCTCACTTGATTTTGGTTCCCTTATGTCAGTTATTGTGTAATCACCAACTAACAGGAAGGAAGAGGCTCAAAAAACCCAACCTACATTCAATAGGCCGTGCAATTAGGTGCTTTGTTAAATAATTTACCAAAAGCAACGAGACTTCTACTTGCTCACAAACCCACTAACAGTCCCTCCCTGCCCACGTGGCTCTCCCTGCTGCTGCCAGGCTCAGCACACTGCCACGTTACCAGAACCCACAGGTTACTGCTCAACAGTCCATTACTAGCCCTGGTTCTGCTAACAGAGCTCACGTTCCAACAGCATGCATATTTCAGAAACAGTCACTCAATGTTACCAGCACTTCTGTTACGACTCCAGTGTATCCTCAGGCAGGGCCTCCCAATAAGGAAAAGCTATTTCTAATGACAGCTGTATTCAACAAGGCCATAACTACAAGCCTGGGTGAACCTTGCTGCAATTCCTGCGTGGCACTACCCTGCTGAGTTCTCTGGATGTTGTTAGTTGTATTCCACAGGCAGCTGACAGAAAATAAGACATATATGAAAACAAGATTTCAACATCGTTAAAAAGACTGATTTTCCAAGTTAGAGGGAAAACATCACTAAGGCTGTTCCAATTCAAAAAAGTGCAAAAAAGTGATAAGTAAGGCTGCTCCAGTACAAAAAAGTGGTTAAATACTAGGTTTCTAAAGAACCAGAAGCACCTGCTCTAGAAACAGGGAAGACCCAGAAGCAAAACTGCATTGCAAAGCAGAGCAATGCTTTGTTTCTCACTCCTGATTCCAGAGAGGGGATATGTATAAAAATATTCTGCTCTTCACAATCAATGCAGAGGGCTGGGGAGAAGATGCAGGTCCCTATTAACCTGCAGCAGATTCACATCAACCCAAGGATTTTTATAGCTTGTTTATTAATATTATTAAGACAAATACTCGGCTACTAAGAAATAGCTGTATATATCGTTACTTGGTCTGAGTATTTTCAGAGATGTAGTGCCCACAGCATGCCAGCCACATCTGGGTTCTGAGGAGAAACTGAAGCCTCTCAGGCCTAAAAAAAACAAACTGCTAAGGAGAAATCAGTGTTTTGCTGCAAAACATTGTTTCACATTGCCAAACAGCCAGTGACCCATTTCTGGAGGAGGCAGAAGTTGGCAGAAAACAGCCATAAATAATGAAAAAAATATAAGTATACAGTACTGAGATAGATAATTTATACAGAAGCTTGCCACTGACGCCAGCACACACAAGCATCATCAATACTTTAAATACCAAGTATCAAACCGATTCCCAAACGCAACTACAGCAATTTCACTTACTGGAGAAAAAGGGAGCAGTGTGAACACAAGAATCAGGATGAGCCATTGAAGCAAAGGGTTTGCTTGAACCCAGAAACTTCCAACATCACCTATTTAATGTGCAGTGCAAGCTGTGGCAGAAGCCCAACAGCTGGCCTGATAAACCAAGAGACAAATGATCTGACTGCCACCACACACCATGAATCTGAAAAATGATTTCATAATACCAGTATGAGGCTGTATATGTTTATTCATTGTCAGTAATTTTGTACACAAGGCAAATATTAATAGCTGAAAGGCAACACTTTTGGAGAGTATGTACAGAGCAATGTACAAGCGAATGGAAGAGGTTTTAAACTATAAATTGATTTAACCATTTTATAAAAAGGAAGCGATGTTTTGTCTTCTAAGACCTCCCTTAGAAATAACTTATTGCCAATCTTTAACTAAAGCAAGGAGAAAAAAAAAATTTACAATAAAAAGTAGTCCCTGGAAAGTTTATAAAAAGTTAAACATATAAAATTGTAAGCCACAAACATTTATACAAAGCTAATACAAATCTTGGTTTTGTTAAAGATCTATGAGATTGTTACAAAATATATTTTTACATAAAGGCTTCACTTAAGGTAAGCTCTCACTGCTACTGAAAGCGCAGGAAAGCGGTTTTAAATAGTCTGCAATTCAACTTATTTTCAAGTACAACGCAAAGAAATTGCAAAATGGCACTGTATTGCAATGCTGTATAATTAAAAAAACAACTATGTTAATGGTACCATCAAATAGGCAAGACCTGTAAAGTTAATTTATGAACATCTCAGTATGGCATGAAACTTCTGATTGTTCTGAAGCAGGAAATGCTGCTGTTGGAAAATGAACCATCTGCAATTGACCTTGAAGAGAAATAAGCAGGGAAGTCTTCTGATGGCAACGGACAATTAAACATGCTTAGTTGTGTGGTTAAGCAGTGAGCTGCTCCTAAACATCACGAGCAGATCAGTTGGATAAGCTGTCTGAAACCGACCATAAATACTATTATTAGCCAAGTGTCACAAAGCTTGAAACACCTCATCTGAGCAGAACGCTACAATAATTCTGATGGGCAGAATATAAAGCCACTTACTAGACAAATGAGTCCAATATACAGCCGTCAAGATGAATGAACCCACCTGATTTTTTTTTTTTATATTATTATTATTTTCTTTTTAGACCAGTGGGTATCCCAAAAGAAAGCTTTACATTTTACATAAGCTGATGGCTTACGCTCCCACATACAACACATAAAGAAGTAAAAATTTTTAAAGCCTCGATGAACAGCCACAGTCTTAAGGTATCAATTGATGCAGTTGAACATACTGCAGCAGGGAACAGTCATTAAAACACTGATTTCACTTCCAAGTACAGTAAGCCTGTACAAGACAGTGGTATATCTCCTTACGGTCACTGATCAGTCATCTTTTTTAACAGGGCTTGCCAAGTCTCTTACTAAGAGAGTTCTGTGAACCTTGCTTTGCCACCTGCTTTTCCACCTCTCCTGGAAATGCACCTTGATTGGAATGCAGACAACCAGGCTGACCCTTCCTACCCAAAGGTGATTGCTTCAGGATAAGGAGCAGCCTGTTCCACAACAGCAGTCTTGTACCAAAATTAAATAATGCTGTACAGGAATTATATTTAGAAG